TATATGACAGACCCACAGCTAACATCATACTCAGTAGTCAAAATCTGAACGCTTTTCTGTGCAGATCAGAAACAAGACAAGAGTGCATTTCTGCTTAACTTCGTCCTGGGAGTCGTAGCCAGAATTAGGCAAGAAAGACAAGTAAAAGGCATAGTATCAAAGAGGAGGAAGTAAAGCTGTCTGTTTGCATATGACATGATCTTATGTATAGAAGCCCATAAAGACTTCATAAACAAAACTGTTAGAAGTAATCAATGAATTCAGTTGCAGCATATGAAATCAACATAGGAAAATCAGTTGCATTTCTGTACACTAACAATGAAATATTTGGAAGAAACATAAAGAAAACTTTCCCACTCATAATGGCATCAAAAACAATATAATACTTAGGAATAAATTTACCCAAGGAAGTGAAAAATCTGTACACTGAAAACTGTAAAATATTGATGAAAGAAACTGAAGACACACAGAAGTGCAAAATCAAAACCACAGCGACATATCACCACACACTTGTCTTTGTTGTCAAACAGACAAAAGATACTAAGTGTTGGTAAGGATGTGGAGAAAAGGAAACCATATTTGGTAGGAATGTAAATTGGTATAAACCTTGTGGAAAACAGTGTGGAGTTCCTTAAAAAATTAAAAATACAACTACCGTGTGATCAAGCAATCCCACTGCTGGGTGTTTGTTTATCCAGAGGAAACGAAATCACTGTCTTGAAGAGATATCTGCACCCCCTTGTTCATTCTAGCATTCTTCACAATAATTGAGACATGGAAACAACCTAAGTGTTGACCAGCAGATTAGTAGATAATATGTGGGGGATTCTCTCTCTCTCTCTTACACACACACACACACACACACACACGTGCACGCACACACACGCACACACAATCACACAACCACACACTGGAATGTTATTCAGCCATAGGAAAAGAAGGGAATCCTTCCATCTGTGACAAGGTAGAGGGACTTTGAGGGCATTATGCTTAGTGAAATAAGCCAGACAGAGAAAGAGAAATACTTCATGTTCTCACTTACACTGATACCTAAACAATGTCAGATACATGGAAGCAGAGTAGAATGGTGATTGCCGTAGACTTGGAGGTGGGGGAATGAGGAGATGCTGGTCAAAGGGTACAAACTTCCAGTTACAAGGTGAATAAATTCTGGGGATCTAACATTCACCATGGCAACTCTAGTTAATACTCCTGTACTTTCTAAAAGTTGCTAAGAGAGTAGATCCTAAACGTTCTCACTATGAAAAATGTAATGATGTGAGGTGATGGATGTGTTAACTATCTTCATTGTAATAACTTCACAACACATATGTGTGTGTCCAGTTGTCACAATGCATACCTTAACTTACACAATGCCATTTGTCAGCTTAATCTCATTAAAGCTGGAAAAAAAATTAAAGTTAAAAAAAAAGAACATAGTACCACCTATAGCTTTGCCAGAGGATGAGATCTGAGTCTGGTCAAGCCTCTGGATCTAGCAGCGGATTTGCAGGAAATATCGAGGATAGGGGAGCAAGTTGAACTGCACCGTGAGACTGCAGGTGACCAAAACCACACTGCGGGCACCTCCGCAGGTAAGGTAGCCCGCTTTTGGGCACCTCTGCAGGTCAGGTGGCCTGTGTTTTCTTCACTGGGTAAACTAAAAGGAAAAGAATGGACAGGGAACTTGCCAATTAAAAGAACTTAAAGACGTCAATTTTTAAAACTGAGCACGACCAAACAAGACCAAACAATAGTATTAGAATGGACACTTGGAGTGATAAAAATACAAAGATGCATAAGGAAGTGATTACAGTAAAAGTCAGATAAGCGGTTACTGGGGTGGGGGGAGGAAAGCGTTGTGATTGGAGAGTGATACAAAGAGGGGAGTCTGGGGCGGATGGCAAAGCTGTGTATCTTGACCTCAGTGGTGTTGCAAGGATGTCCCCTTAATAAGGATGCATTGACATATGCATTTATTTTGTGTGGTTTTTATGTATCTGTGTTTTGCTTTATAATAAAAGGTTAAAATACGTTAAAGAAATATTTAAAGAAAATCGTGCCTACTATATCTTATTTGATGATATTCATATTCTTGAGTAGATAATTGTAAATGCTGAGAACTTTGCCATAAATAAACCTGTTTTCTTTGTTTAAAACGCCCCCTTGCCCCCATTCACACACTCAAAACCAAATAATAGAATGCTTAGGCTCTACTGGAAGGCACTAGATAAAATATCTTATTGCTTCAAGGAGGACTTTATTCTTACAACAACCCCTATGCTAAGTTAAATACCCCTCCAGAAATTTTAACATTGATTATACACCGGGTCCCTGAGACAGGATTTCAGCCATACATGGATCCCCTGGAGGTCTTTGTCCAGCGGAGCTGGGTCTTCCTTCTTTCCTCTCTACCAGGGGTCTTGTCTTGATTCCTGTTAAATATCAAAAAGGGATGAAATATTTCTGTTCTTGCAGCAAATATTTTGTTTGGCTTGGCCAAGATCATTTAAGTGTTATAAATCTGTGCCATGCGGATATAGTGAAGGTATAAACAGAGGATGTAGAGTCTGGAGCCATCTCTATGGGAATTTAGACATGGTCAGGGTGGGCCGCTGCTGAAATAGCCCGGAAGGTACCCGTGTGTAGCACACCTGCTGGGCCATCACTGTTAGTCTTTGTGCAATTGAGGTATGTGCTGTTCAATGAACACTGCCGATTCTGATCTCCAGGGGCTGCTATGCCTTTAGCTTGGCACACTGTACAACTCCTGGATGCGTTTGTGGCCTTTTATGCTCAGAAATGCTGCCCGGGTCACTTTTTACCCAGCCTTCTCCAGATATTTCCTGTCACCATTCCTGTGATGGTTAATTTTACCTGCCAACTTGAGCTGGCTTAGGGATGCCCAGACAAAACATAATTTTTTGATGTGTCTGTGAAGGTGTTTCTAGAGGAGATTAGTGTTTGAACTGGAAGGCTGGGCATCATTCGGCCCACTGAGTGCCAGGATTGAACAAAATGGTAGAGGAGGGGCGGATTCACTCTCCGTTTGGGCTGGAACATCCATCTTCTCCTGCCCTTGAACATTGGTGCCCCTGGTTGTCAGGCTGTCTCGGGTTTGGACTGGAATTGTACTACCAGCTCCCTAGGTCTCCACCTTTCAGACTGTAGCTAATGGGACTTCTCAACCTCTATTATTGTGGGAGCCAATTTCTTATAATAAATAAATCTCTATATGTGTATGTATCTATATTCTATTGGTTCTGTTTCTCTGGAGAACCCTGGCTAACATAATTCTCTCCCCCCAGGAATGCAGTGAAGTAAAATTAATTGTGAATCCTTGTTCTGGGGACTTGAGGATACTCAATTTTTATAAATACTCAGTAACTGTTTAGGTATATTCATTAGCAGCAGGCAGTTCTCTTGCAAACAGGAGGATGGTATCTAGTGGTGTGTTACTCAAATAATACGTATGCTTATGTTTTCTTTGAATTTTTTGCTTTCCTTTTAAAAGGTATACATTTTTAATTTTTAAAGAGATGTGATTATTACAGAAAAGCTTGAAACAGTGAAAAAATACTCCTATGTTTTTACCACTATAATAGAATTATGGTTATAACTTTGTATATTTTTCTGGTCTACTTTGGTATGAATATCTTTTCATAGTTGTAATAAAAACATGCACATAGTTGTTTTCCATCCTAGATGTAGCTTCAGGCAGTAATGACATAATCGTATACATATCTCCGTGCTGCTCTGTTATCACAACAGTAATTTTTTCTACTGCATTAAGTTTCATCATTTGGCTCTATTATATATTTTAACCATTAACCTGTTTTTGGTTGCTGTATTTCCCCTCACATTTCAGTAAATATAGCTTTGTATAAAATGTAATATTATGCACATTGCTTTTTGGTTATTGTTGCTCTGAATATTTAAAGTAGAATATTAACAAGTGTCAAGGATTTCAGTAAACTTCTATGTAGTTTTTCTTTCAGCTGTGCCATTGAGTCTAACAAATCTAGCAATTGCAGTAGGATACGCATGTTAAATCTGCCAACTGTTGTTGCCCCTGAGATCTTAATTATATATGACATCACAGTGCCATATAGCACTTGAGTGAGGCAGTGATCTTGTTTACATTTGGAAATTAGCCACAGAATAGCAGTTGTGCACAGTTAGGAACTCGTGGTAGAAAAGGAGGGTTCTTCAGAGCCTAGGGAAATGTAAGTCATCATTTTCGACGTGTGTAAGGATGTGCGTTCTTGGGAGATGGGTCTTAGTTCCACATGTTCAGGGGGATGCAGTAACCACTGCCGTGGGCTCCATGGTTCACAGTGGACCGGCATGCTGTTCTTGTGACTTTCTTTCTTTGTTGTTGTTCCCTCCTCCCCTGCATTTCTCCTCTTTCTCATTCATTATGATCAGCAGTGGAACTCAGAAAAAATGTTCTTGTGGGGAGCAGTGACATGAAAGTTTATAATAACTTAAAAAATTTAAAAAGCTGAGCATATATGTGAAATTGTTAATTGACTACTTTGTCAATCTGTGTTGATTTGGGGAAGTTTTCCCATTTAAATTGATATTTTAATGTTACCTTTCCTTGTCAGAATTTTTTTAAAAATTGTGATATGGATGCTGATTGTTAAATAAATTTCTACAAGTTACTATATTTTGACAAGTCCATAATGAATCAAGTGTGGAAATAATTGATCAAATGTAGTTATCCTTTTACTATGTTATTTGGAAAAGTGTAGCTTTACAACTTCATTAAAAGGTAAGCCTTTTTATGTTTCTGCACAATGAAAGCAAAGCGTCTATGCAAATAATCAAATAAAATTATTTTTAAATGTTAGATACTCTACTTTAAAAGATAAAATCTTAGTGATTTTTGATTACCAAATGACAGGAGCATCCTTTCTTGTGTAACAGAGCTTATAAAATGCAATGACTATCTTACTTTTGATAAAGGTCTGATCAGCATTTTGTGTTTTTCTTAGGAATGGGCTGTTTCTGGGGAGCCGAGAGGAAATTCTGGACCCTGGGAGGAGTATATTCAACTCAAGTTGGTTATGCAGGAGGCTACACTCCCAATCCTACTTATGAAGAAGTCTGCTCAGGTAGGAAGAGTTTGCTCCATCATATTACTAGGAGGAAGAAGGCAAGGCTTGTTCTTGCTAGTAGGTAATCGGATCTTTAAAATGGAAATATATATTTTCTTTTTGTTTTCTCAGTTTTCCCTTTCCCATTTCTGTAAACAGACTTGTTGGCTTCTCACTTTATATTTTCAGGAGATAATAAACTTCCTATGGTATGTATAATTTAGCTTTTGCTGCAGATCTGTCAGCATGGTGTCATGATCTGTCTCTTTATAGAAAAAAAAATTTGTCGACCAAGATCGGCAGATGTCCCATGGCAAATTCTAGCTGGAATACTAGATACCCTCTACGGATTCGTTTTCTGTTTCTGGCCTTCAGTGATTTCCTTTACTTTTCTGCTAGCTCAGTTGCCATTTAAAACACATTTTTTTCTTTTCCACTGTTTTCATTTTAAAAATAAAAATTGTATATATTTACAATGGTGTTTTGTACAGTGAAATGATTACTACAGTCAAGCCAATGAACACATGCATCTCCTCACATAGTTTTTTTTTTGTGGTGAGAGTGCCTGCGATCTCCCCTCTTAGCAAATTTCAGATGCGCCACCCCATGTTACTAACTGGAGTCTGCATGCTGCACATTAGCTCTCCAGAACTAACTCACCCTACACCCCTGGAAGTTTGTATCCTTTGATGGCCATCTCCTCGTTCCCTCTCCCACCCCTGGGAGCTGCCATTCTGCTCTCTGCCTCCCTGAGTTGGACTTCTTTAGATTCCACATACACCTCACATCGTGCAGTACTTTTGTTACTTATGTTTGCGTGCCTGCCTTATTTCACGTAGTATGAATGACCTCCGGGTTTATCCATGTTGTTGCAAAGGCAGGATTTCCCTCATTTTAAACGCTGAATAGTATTCCAACCACCTGGGTTATTTCCCTGTCTTGCCGAGCATAGCGGCTGCGGGGAACCGGGGGTGCAGATGTCTGTTCAAGGCATTGCTTTCCTTGTCTTTGGGTGTGTACCCAGAAGAGGGGTTGCTGGATGATGTGATAATTCTATTTTTAACTTTTTGAGGAATATTTATACTGTAAAACACATTTTTAAAGATTATTGACTGTCTTAAGAGTTCTTAATAGGGAGGGTTTATCTAGATATATAGTCCTCCATGTTGACAGAAATTAGGTTTTTAAAATGCGAAAAGAGTTTTTATCTTTTAAAAATAAAGGTTTGAATTGTTTTTTGGTGGGTGCTGGGGAGAGAACCCTTTCAGCTCTCTGAGGACATGGTGCGTGAAGGTGGGAAGGAATTGGAATAGGGAGTTTGTTCAGTGATGAGCATATTGAATGTTTTCCACAACATGTATTCTGATTTTGAAATGAAATTTGAGCTCTGTAACAATGGAAATATTATAAAAATACATGTTCTTGTTTTCTTGCCTCTAGAGAATTGAAATATTTTGATTGCTGTTGAAAATGTGGAATATCGAACAAATAATTTAATGGTTAATCCATTTTTCCTTGCTTCTGTTTAAAAATTAAACAAATGCTTATGCAGAGCTATAAATAGAGAGATTTAGATGAACCCTGGAGATTTCCCAAGTATATCCTCTTAAGTCTCAGGAATGGAAATGAATAGATTCCTTTCCATAATTGCAGACATAACTTAGAAAAAAGGTTGCTAAGAAAATCTTCAAATATCTACTGTTTATACTATTCTTCTCCACTAGCAAATGTTAATAACCAATTAGACCATTGTGATTGTTTGCTCAGACTCATTCCAGTTCCACTCTTCACCTTCACAATGACATCATAATTCCCTTTTGTTGAATTCCTACTATGTGCCAGACACTGTAATAAGCACTCTTTCGCATCTTTGCTTTTTTACCATCTAATCTTCCAAACAGTCCCACGGAGTGTCTCAGTCTCCGTCTTTCACAGAGGGAGTGTGGGGGCTCAGGGAGGAAAAAGTCACTTATCCAAGGTCACAGAGCGGGAATGCCGGCCTCATTAGCTCTGAGCTCAAAGTTTAGGCCGTTGACTGTGGTGTAAGCCGCCCAGCCGTCATTATGCCCCAGAGATTCTCCATTTGCCTCGTCACACTTCCCTCCACCACATCACACGCTCTTTCTTCCAGTCTGTGTCTCTACTGTACTTTTTGGTATACTGGTGCGCTTTTTAATGATTACTGTGAGGAAAACCCTTTTAAGATACAGTTCACGCAAACAGCTGGTGAAGTACAGACACCATGAAGCTTGGTAAAGACTGCCTATTTGATGTGAACATTGAGTTAACGGTCGTATCAGGAAGCATGGTTGTCATGGAAACTTTCTCCTGATTGGGAAAACATAGTTATAAGGTCTTACCTGGACACAGAAGGGTAGATGATTTCTTTCCCTGGGCTTTGTTGTTGTTGTTGTTCTGATCATGAAAGGGAAAAACAGAACAAGCAGAGAGAAGCTGTGATAGAAGGGTCCCTTGGTACAGAAGTGGAAGAGCCTTCACATCCCTGGGAATAGCAGGCAGGACAGCAAACAAGGTCCCCAGCTAGAGTAATTATGGTAACCGGCTAACTAAAGGTTTTTGACGGGGATGAGGATGGGGAAGACAAAAAGCGAGTTGTTCTGCTGGGGCTTCCCCACTGAAGCCGCAGGTGCTCACCGCCTTGTTGAACAAGTCAGCCCTGCAGGCGTCTGACTTACAAGGGAGAAAACCCCAGTCTTCACTAAGATGCACAGTCTTTGCTAAGGTTTCATGTGAGGGAAATGCCAGACTGTGCTCCAGTGTCAGAGTTAATTTCAAAATTGCTTACTCTTATGTTTGTAATTCAGTTTGTAAAACTTTGGTCACAACCCAGAAATCTTTGTAAAAGTATGTATGTATGTATGTAAGTAAGTATTAATTCATTAATTCATTAATTTATTAATGTGTTCAAGAAAAGAAGCCTGAGGACCTGGATTGCTTGCCAGATTCCTCCTCTCATCAGCATACTTGAGCCAAAGGTACCATTTGGTTTCTTGGGGCAATTGTCAGAAATAGAGGGGCAGCACACAAGAGGGGGTTCTCAAAGTGCATCGGGCAAGCTTTACCATTCCCTCCCTCCCCACTGCCAACCCATCACATGATGACAAAAGTCAGAGCATCTATAAGCATTGCCTGGGCACACTGATCAGTGTCACGAGCATGGAATCAGAACCATCGGCTATGGTTTGTCATGCCCGCTTGCTAGTGGGTGTGCATGGCCTCAGGGGATGAATGCATGTGCCGGTGTGTATGTGAGTGTAAAAGTAGGCGAGTTTTGAGACAAGGTGCATATTAACATCTGAATGGTTTTTCTTTGTGGCTATCGATGGGCCTGTGATTCTGAAACCTGAGCTGGAGTTGCAATTAGGCACATAGAAAAGATACACAGTTTCTAACAGAGCCCCACGGTGACACATGGGTAGAGTAGACTCTGACATGTAAGCAGAACATCATGAGTGACTTGCCAGTGGGTCTGTTCCATGCTGGGTGATCTGGGTGGGACTTGAGCCTAACATATGTAGAAAATACAAGGAGACAATGGTAACTTAAGGTTTTGCAATAAAGTTGCCCTTTGGGAATGAAAGTATAAAGTAAGCCTATGGTGATTCAGAGTGGAGAAAGGCAGTCACTTAGAAGAGAGCTTGGCTTCTAGCTCTGTAAGACCTCCAAGTAACCTAATGGAGTGCCCTGAAAAGGGAAAGGGAAAACTAGGAGCTCAGTGGGGAGGCCAGGCCAGCCTGGGAAAGGGGAGGTCCCGCCGGCACCTCCTGGGCTGCTCTGTAAGGTTCAGCTGCTGGACGGACTCCCAGAGCCTGCCACCAGGACACTTTTAAGTTCTGTCACTAACTCCTCTGGTTCTGATCCACACTCTATAGAAACTTCTCATCTTTTTTCTTGAGTGGAAGAAAAGAAAATAAAGAGACCAGATTAGTCATTCTTGTTTCAAATTCACTAAAATGCCATTCTGAGATGTATATTGCAGTCTATTGTGAGTTTAGTCTACAATTGTCATTCTCTCTGTATTGGATTAACCTTGGGTTGAATTAAATGATAAAAGTGGAATTTTGGCCTTGGAAGCTGAATGTCAGGAGCCAGATGACCATGATTTTCTAAAGGCTGTGACTGCCTCCTTGCATTTGCAGGGACTCCTGGTCCCTCACATGTTCATCAGTGTATTTAACCTGTTTTAAAGCAACTATCCTCCCATAACAGGCATTTAAACTTTCTTTCCTTGGAATCATTAGTTAGCACTGAACCCAAAGCTAATAGGCTGAGAAACTTGTACCTCCTAGATGTTTCGGGCCTGAATCCTGAGCTCTCTGAGAGCTGCCAGCTTCTGTACAAGGGACCAGTCTCAGTTCAGAGACTGTTGGGCTCACAGCCACTGTTGGGCTACTCTTTCTTGTCGTGTTTCAGATCTGTCTCTAAGGGATGTTCTGAGAGGTCCCTGAAGCCTTAGTGCCCACCATTCTGTACCTAAAATGATTTCCAAAGATTCATTCATTCATCTGATGTTCTCTAAAAGCTTGGTGTGTGCCTGGCACTAGAAACTTGGAATGGAGTAGCCTTGACGAGCCTAGATTTCATGTAACCTTTCTTGAATGAATTAAGTACATCATTTATTGGGAATGTAACACATGCATTGTACTAGGCATTAGGGGAAGGTTGTTTGTAGATACAAAGTTGAATAACACTAGTACCTGTCTTCCAGAATTCTTCCTCTATAGTGGAATGAATGATTTTGAATGAATGAATGATTTTTCACATTTGTTTTAAAAAATTGCACTGACCCTGGTTTTCTGTGCACACACACACACACACACACACACACACACACACACTCACACCCCCCAAACATTTGTTATGCAAACTAACTGATTAATTGGCATGCTGTTGCTTTACTACACTGATTTTAGAAGTAATTGAGCTATTCACATTCCTGAATACCCTGATAGAGAATTATTCTTACATTTTATAATAATGACTATACAGATGAAAAT